CCACTGTCCCTAAGGGTAAACCAGTGGTAAACCATAAACACCAGTGGTTAACTTGTAACATTCAACTTTTGTGGATAACGTCAGAGGGCTGTCTATGGCCAGCTCCAAAGCTGCACTTGCTTCTGTAGCATGTACAAGATCAGAGACACTCCATTTGGATTTTCTTGATCACTTGGTACTACCTGACTGGCCAAAGGAAAATGGCTCATATTGTTTGCTGACAGGCCCCTCAGTTTGTTTGCTGGTTGCAAGAGGTTACCTTGTATGTCTCTCTTGGATCAGCAATCCTTAGACCAATGTTTGCCCTTTGCACAGCAGCTACAGTACACTGGAAGCCTTTGTGGCTCATAGCAACCACAACCTGCTTGTTCTCTTCTATGAATACCATAGTCTCTCGAGTCAATGTACCTGCTATGTTGAGCTCTTTGGAAATGACCAAACTCACTACAGTTAAAGCATTGAGCATTTTGATCCCTGAAATTTCTAGCTATGATTTGGCCTATGATATTGCTTTTGAGAACCAATACCAGTTAGCTCCTTTATCCATTTGCCTATCAGGGCTCCTCCTGCTTTCAATGGTCTGATTGCTCTCTTACATTCAGTATTTGCATTTTCAAATGCCAATATTTCTATCAGTGAGTCTAGTTTCAGTATATGATATGGCTCTATTTACACCTGAACCCAACCTCTGTAAGAAGTTTGTAAAGAACTTTGTAAAGTTTCTGCAGAACCCTATATTATCTTAGTAAATGAGGTGGTTCCCCCGCCCCCGACCCTAGGCTCCTCCCCTCCCCCGACCCTAGGCTCCTCCCCTCTCCCCGACCCTAGGCTCCTCCCCTCCCCCCCACCCTAGGCTTCTCAGGCATATCCCAAGCTCTTAATGCTGCAACATGACATTGTTCAATAACAACAACATCAGACTTGATTTGTTCCTTAAGTCGGTGTAATGTCCTTCACCAAGCAGCTGGTCTTTTGTTGTTGTTGCTGTTGTTTCGAGACAGGGTTTCTCTGTGTAGTCCTGGCTGTCCTGGAACTCACTCTGTAGACCAGACTGGCCTCGAACTCAGAAATCCGCCTGCCTCTGCCTCCCAAGTGTTAGATTTTTCAAAACCTACTTTAATAAGGTTTCTTAAATGCTTTAAGCTCCCTTCTAGCCCACCACCCAAAGTTAATAGGGCAAAGGGGGATGTGGACCTGTTTAGAAATAGTTCTTTTGGGCGATTACAATCTTCTACAAAGTTGAACTTTCTTAGCCAACATTTGTAGCCTGGGGTCTGTAACTGTTACAGCAGTCACTCAGTCCTTTTAGGATGCATTTTCTCAGGAAACCTCTAATGGAAGGACCAGATGCTTGCATTTAGTGTCTTTAAATCCTGGGGCAACCTGTTTTGGGTATGTTGCCTGCTGAAGCCTCCCACTGGGTCTGTCCATGTAAGGGTAAAGATGGGTTGATTCACCTCTGCCAAGGGGAGGCTGAAGAATGCATATTTCAGGTCCAAGACAGTGTTCATATTTCTTTGGAAGAATCAGACTCATGAGAATCTGAGGTCTCAAGTTTCTTCGCAGGTGGGAGAGGCATGTTTCAGGATGACTGTCAGGGCACCAGGATGCCTGTCTCTTCAAGCCAGGCAATACAGACTAATTGCCTATTTGTTCCCAGAGTCATCACATATTGTTTAATCTGGATGGAGGTAGCTGAACTAGTTAGTTGAACAATTATAGGTGCTTGGTGTTGGCCAGTCCTGGGGCGTCTGTTTCTGACAGAGAATGAGACACCAAAATTTTGCTGGATATCTGTGAGTCCATGTCTCATCATCAGAGAAGGTAATGGTGGATTTTTGTTTATGCAGAAGTTCTTTTTTTTTTTTTTTTTTTTTTTTGGTTTTTTGAGACAGGGTTTCTCTGTATAGCCCTGGCTGTCCTGGAACTCACTCTGTAGACCAGGCTGGCCTCAAACTCAGAAATCTGCCTGCCTTTGCCTCCCAAGTGCTGGGATTAAAGGCGTGCACCACCACTGCCTGGCTTATGCAGAAGTTCTTGTCCCAATCATCTTCTGTTATTAAATACCCTTTCAGCTCCCTCCATCAGCCGGGACATACTTATACCTTCAAACATTCCCAAATTTTATAACCTTTTCTAATAACTGGGACTGACTGGCTATTTTTTGTTTTGTTTATGTTTTTTCTTCAAGCTAGGGTTTCTCTGTGTAGCCCTGGCTGTCTTGGAACTCGCTCTGTAGACCAGGCTGGCCTCGAACTCACAGAGATCTGCCTGCCTCTGTCTCTTTAGTGGATTAAAGGCATGCACTACCACCACTTGGTAAAAAGAAATCATTTTAGCAGATATCTTTAATCCTTTAAAAAGAACCTATTGAAAGTTTTTTTTAAAAGTTTTCTTGGTCAGTGTTGGACAGAAGGGAAAATCTCATTCTGTCCAGGTTGTGTTGTCTGGCAGTGTTCCCTTTTCCCAGCCCAGGAGCATATTAAAAAGAAAACTTTTTAAAGAGAATGGTGGTTTTTAATGGATCATTGGTTAAAAGGAGACATAAATCATGAAAGATAAAGGAGTAGAACATTTTCTTTTCCTGCTCTGCATGGAGCAGTGCAGAGGGAATGTTTACCTGAGGGAACTATACATAATTCACACATATATATGAATTCATACTCTCTGTATGAATGCTTTGTCTGCCTCTGGAGGTCAGAAGAGGGAGTAGGATCCCCTGGAACTGCAGCTATGGATGGTTGTAAACCACCATATGAGTGCTGGGAACCAAACTTTGGTCCCTCTGAAAGAGTAGCCGGTGTTCTTAAACACTGATTTGTCTTCCCAGCTCCCTGGGTCTCAGCTTTTGATATTTATGTTTGATGTTTCTTTGTTGTTTTGGCTTGTTCACCTGCCTTGTCACAAGTGTATGCTACTGACACTGCTATTGGGTCACAGCTATTTGTACCTCTACGGCCCATTAGCATTTCTTCTATAAAATCAAGAGTGCTGGTGTTTGGTGTACATGTGCAGAATCCCAGTCTTCTCTCGAGAGATTGTTTTCTTTAATCACCACAATACGACTGTGTTTGTCTCTTCTAATGGATTCTCCTTTGAAGCCTTTCATCAGACAGTGTCTGCTTTCTCACGAGTGTCTCCAGTGTCCTTTAAGCCCTTCCTCTGTATAGTGATGATTGTAACTGCACAACTGCAAGACTGCATTTCTCCTTCTCGAAATGGACCAGCCAGCTTGCATTTAGCTGATTGGTTCATTTTAAATGATAGCAAAGCCTTGACTGAAAGAGACGTGAATAAAACCTTTCAAGTTTCTATGAAGAAAGCTCTCAGATCCTACCTGGCCTTGTTAGTAGTGGCCTACAGCAGAGGGCAGGACAGAGTTAGATCAGTCAAGCCCACCAGGTGGGTTACGTGTGACCCTCGGTGGGATGGGGTTCGTGAGCATGCGTGTGTGCATGTGTGGTAGATGTGTAAAGTTAGCTCTGTGGTGCTTGAGATGAAAAAACCTGTTGTGGGGCAGCTTCTCTTGTGCAAGAGTCTGGAGTAAGTCCTTGGATCCAAAGTGGATGAACTCTTAATCAGTTTGATTTGACCCAGGGCCACTCTCCTTAGCTATCTACCTATTTAAAAATTAGCTATTTCTTGTCTTTCCTCACTATTCTAGTGTGCTTTAGTCATTTCTGTGGCCTCCTGGATGTAGGCATCTTCAGTGTGTAAGGATCCCTCAAATACCTTCTGTTGATTCTAACTTCTGGAATAGTCTGTGATTGTTATTGGAAGTTTTTAATGACGTATATCCTGAATTCCTGGTTCTTTTGCTTCCATCTCCTTTGTTGGGATTGCAGGAAAAGCAACACCACATTGGTGTTGGAATGGGTTCTCTTCTCTGGTTAAAAAGAAAATGTGCAACTTGTTAAAATTTGAGCGTGACTTGCTGAAATTCCTGACACCCGGAGGACATCAAGTCCTGTTCCAGTTTGATGGAGGTGTGTTAGGCCCTGGTCTAGCTGTGAGGCAAAGAGATCGCTGCCTTGAGCATTGTGTGTAACGGACTGTACCTTAAGTACCTACTGAGTGCAAGAAGACAACAGTGACAGTTTTGGGAGGGACAAGAAAGTCTTGCTTCAATCAAATCTTCTTGAAGCTGACCTGCATGAACTTGGGAGAAAGCCAGAGCTAGGAAGGGCTGTGTGGTCCACGTCTTTTAATTTTAGTTCAACCACTTATGGGAACTGTTATTCAGATCTCACTAGCCAATCAGGGTTCTGGGGGCAGGTCATTCATTCACAAGAACCAAGGGAAACTGTTCCTGTCACTCAGGCCCTCGCGGGTCAGTGTTAGCCAATGAAAACCTTCAGGCCAGGCCACTCACTCAGGAGCGCCTAAAGGAACTGCTTCATCATTCAGGGCATGCTAGCCAATTAGAGCAATGGAGTCGGGTCATCCACGCAGCACCGCCTAGGGAACTCCTGTCAATCAGACTCGTGGTGCAGCTCCAGCCAATCAGAGCCTCGGGGCAAGATGTCCAATCAAGAGCACCAGCCGGAGACGAGAGGTGGGTGCTTTCCGCCGCCATACTGCAGATTCTGTTCCGAGTCTTAAGCAGGCATCGCGTGATCCCGTGAGCTGCGGTGTGATCGCCGCTGCCGGGAGCTGTAGGGGTGGCGCAGGCGAGCTCGGCAACCGCGCCATGGTGAGGGCGGGGCCGCTGTTCCCAGACGGGGAGGAGCGGCCGGCTGAGCCGCGTGAGCCGGGGTGGTGAGCCCTCCCCGGGGCTGGGGGAGGGGTGGGGCCGGCCGGCCGAGCGGACATCCTGTGCGTTCCATAGGGCGACGTGGGCCCCGTCACCGGCCAGTCCTTGTCTCGGAGGACTCTATTCACTTCCGCTTTTCGGGCAAAGCGCGGGGAGCGGAAGGTTCCGCCCAATGCGGGGGTAGCTTCCGGGTTGGTGACGTCACCGCCCAGGGCTGGCGCCCTGTTTGTGCTTTTGGTGTCGCACTTATGCCTGCAGTGTTCCCTGCGCTGTGGTCTAGACGTTGTGGGCTTTGTAGGTCTAGCATCAAGTGTGAGTTAATTTTGTGAGATTTTCTGAGTCTTTGTCCCGGAGTTTCTTTCGGATGGTGTTCCAGAAACAGTTCTAGAAAAGATTGTGCTACTTTATCAAAGGTCAGCTTGTCTCCTGATTTTTTTATTTTGTTTGTGGATCTGTTTATTCTTCCTAAATAGTGTGTTGTTTTGTGTATCTGATTGGAAATATTAGGAGAGTGTTGTGGGTTCGTCTATATTGTGCTAACCGTTTTGGCTCTTTTTAAAAATTATTTACATATAAAATTTAGTAATCTCTTTTATGTTTCTGATAAGATTTTTTTTTTTTTAGCATTTTGTGGGAATTATCTTAAATCTGTAATTGAAACTGGAAGTGACATTTTAGGATTGTGTCATCTGGTCATGGTGATGTTGTACCAGAAGCAGACAAGCACATTTGCGTCTTTCCACAATGTCAAAATTTATTGAGTAGGAATTAAAAAGGTGTCATGCATCCGGTGGTAATCTGGCCAAGGGTAAGGCAGGTTCTATTTTTCGAAGTCCTAACATTAATTACTAATATTTCTTCATATCACACAGTAAATATGTAATTATATGTGCATATACTGTTTACAGAATCAACGTAAGTTACAGAGGCTGCAGCAGAGTTCAGAGGGTCCTAGAAGTTGGCTGAGAGAAATACAGGCAGTGTTTCAGATGATGAGATAATAAATTAGAACACCAGTGAGCCACAGGGAGGGAGCTTTGAATGAAGCCTGGGGACATCAGGTTTGAAGGTGGCTGTAGTGGCCTAGCTCTGATATGAAAGGCAGGCTGAGATGAGGTTCTGGTGGACAGACAGGGACCCAGTTGAACTGAACCTGCGAAACAGTCAGGCGTCCCTGACTAGATCCTTGGCTCCCACACCAGATATCAGATGACAGGTTGGTTTCAGGCCACACCGTCTAGTGCTGGATGTCTGTCCCTTTATGAGGCCAGACAAGGGAGTTGCATCCGTCTGTGTCCTGTGTAGCGAGTTTTGCTTGAATATATGTCTGTGCACCACTTGTATGCCTAGTGCCTGCAGAGGCCAGCGGAGGACATCGAATCTCCTGTAGTTCTAGTTAAATATGGTTGTAAGCTGTCATGTGTACTCTGGGAATCGGACCTCTGACAAGTAGCATCTGTGTTCTTAACCACTGAACCACACCACCTCTTTAGCCTTTTATTTTAATTAGCATGTGCTTTTGAGATAGAACTTGTGTAGGCAAGAATGACCTTGAACTCCTGATTCTTTTGCCTCTATTTCCAAGTGCTGGAATTTCATATATAATTTCATGTGAGAGGCATGCACCTATCTGAGTTCTTTTTCTTTAACAATTTCACACATGTATAAAGAATGTTCTGACTATTGTAATATCTCACTGTCTAATTTCCTTCTCATCCTCTTTGTCCTCTCCTGCTTACAGTTCTCTGTGAAGTATCTTATGTCTCCTGCCCCCTCCATCTCCTTTTTTGTTTTGAGACCCACTGTTTTAACCAGGATCATCATGTGACTGCAGGTTCCAACCTGTCATCTATTTCAGCACCTCAGTGGGTACACAGTTGAAGACAATGACTTTCTCCAGAATCCCTCAGGATCTGAATCAGGGTTGACCATTGATGGGCCCGGTCTTGTGTCAGGTCCATGGCATTGCTGTTGTCAAGTGAAGTCATAAGCAGCCTTAGCTCTGCAGTGCTGAAAAGTCAACATTGTACATCCCGTCCCACTGTCCTCTGGGCCTTACAGTCTGTATGCCTCATCTTTCACAGTGATCCTGGCGTCTTGCAAGTGGTGATATAAATGCCCTGTTTCTGTCCTGTTTCTGACTGAGCACTCAGGTGTCAGCTTACTCTCAGCTCCTTGAGAAGCTGTGCATCGCTGCAGAGGGGCTTCTCTACTTTAGACCGGGAGGAGCAGCTGGTCTGTGGGTATAAGCAATATTTAGAAGGTAACTGGGTGCCAGGACAATTTAGCTAAACAGTAGTGCTAAGTTTATCCCTCTAGCCGCAGACATGGGTTTTGGGCTTAGTTTACTATGCCAGGCATGGATTCTCTGAAGGAGTGAGTCTCAAGTCCAGTTAGAGAGCCGCCTGGTGTTATCCTCCGAACAGTTATACCCCTGTTGCACAGGTGGACGTACCTCGCTTGGCAGGTTGGTTTTGTATGTTGTAGAGGTCTGGGTAAGACATTCTGTGCCTGTCATTCCTCCCCAGCAGTCTGCACAGTGCCCCAGAGCACTATGAAAGCCCACAGGGAGGAAGCTTTCAGCTCAGTGCCAGTTTGATTTCCTTCTGCATTGTTAACCAGTGTATGGGGTGTCTTCAGTAATAATAGCCAGTTCTGGAGGGCAACCAAGAAGAGTGCGAGAGCCTATGAGGTCTCCCTGACCAATGGCTAATAAGGAGGTAACTCTCTCCTGCTCTGGAGTTATGGCTTAGTAACCATTGGCTTTCAGAAGCATCATCTATTATAGGATATCTCCCTTCTTGTTTTTATCATTGTCTTAACTTACACGTGACCTTACTGTAGCACTGCTGGATACATGGTCAAAGGACTTTCTATCCTACTCCAGGAGATACTTGTATAATCATGTCCATTGTCACTCTTAATTTGTAATAACCAGGAAATAAAAACAGCCTACATGTCCAGCTGATGATAGATATTAAAAATGTGTAGACATAAAGGGCTTCCATTCAGCTGTGAAGAAAAAATTATGAAATTTGCAGGTTAGTGGATGAAACTAGATAAACGGTCTAAGTTAGCTGATGGTTTGAGCTGGAACAATGATAGTTTGAGAGGAGGGAACAATGTCCCTCTCCTATAGGTCCTAGCTTCACGCACATCCTTAGATTGGTGTGTCATAACTTGCAGAGCTTGAAGAAGTAAGGAAAAGGGCCACCAGGGAGCTGCTGGTGAGGACAGAGGAAATAGCAGCACAGATAACAAACAGGAAGACTTGGGGTGAAGAGTTTGAGCTTGGGCGTTCAGGGTGGGCTGTGAGGGGCATACAGGAGAAAGAAAGAAGAGTTCATGAGACTAAGGATTCGTGAACAAGCCACATGGACACCTACTACTTTGTTAGCCAAGTGACATTACTTATATAAGTTATTTTGTCTTTTTGCTAGAGTTAAAACATTTTGATTTTCAATATTTGTGATGTTTCAATTTCTGCATACTGAATAATTTCTGATTGTACTATCCTTATTTTATTTTTATCTATTTATTTTTGTTTTCTGAAGATGGTCTTACTCTGTATCCCAGGCTGACCTAGAATTTATAGGATGCTCCTGCTGGCCTTGAACTTGGAACCCTGCTTCCTGACAGCTGGGCTTGCAGGCCTGTGCGCCTACCACACCTCCAGTGCCTCCCTGCTACATTCCAGCAGCTCTTTGCATTTATGACTCAGAGTGTTAGTGTTTGATAATTAAAAATTTAGAATTTCGTTTTGCGTATGAGGATTTTGCTGCATGTATGTCTGTGCCCTGTGTGTGTCTGGTGTCCATGGAGGTCAGATCCCATTGGACAGGGGTTCCAGATTGTTATGAGGCACCATGTGGGTGCTAGGAACAACCTGGCTGCTCTGCCAAGGCAGCCCAGTTCTTCATTGAGGTTCGTTTGCTCCATTGTCCAAAGTTGGGTCTGTGTGAGTTTGTCCTGGGTTTTGTGTTCCAGTGAGCTGTTCATTGCTTACCAAATGCGAGTGCACTCTTATGTATGTGGCTGTTTTGTAAGAAGTCTTAAAGTCCTGTATTATCTGTGTGTGTGTGTCAGAGTTGTGCTGAACATTCTTTTTACTCCTCCTTTTCATGTATCTCTTTTAATGACTTACAACATAGTCTGGTTTTGAATGTTAGGAGAATGTGTTGAGTTTACAATGCAGATAGAAGATGTGTAAGAACGTCTTACACACACAGGCTTCTTGCCCTCTGCGGTGCCGACTTCCTTCTGTTTTTCTCTTCATTAGAAGTATCTGACTTTGTCTAAAGGCTTTTCCTCCCCCTTTTTATCAGTGTATATACAGTGCAGACTTGGTACTGTACATCCAGGTCATTGTTGTCATAGGAAAAGGGTGGGCTTTTGTGTATTGATGTGTCATACAAGTTTTCAGTCCTTTTTGGTTCCTTGGATTTTCCGTACGGAAATTTGTTGTCACAGCTTCCCCTCCCCCGCCTCAGTGTCCTCGCATTGCATTCCCCTTTTATTGCTATGCCCCTGCAGTAGTATTGGTATTATCCGGTAACTTTTCGTGTATCATCTAACTTGTTGTTCTGGGTCTTCTGAGCCCAGGGGCGTCAGCAGAGCTTGCATCAAGGCCGTGTGCAAGGATTGCGCCAGCAGTGTGATTGGGAGGAGCGGCCAAGGTTAGGTGTGAAAACCAATGGTTAGGGAAAGTTGTGGGTGATGGCGCCTGAGACACATTTGGTCAGAGGTAAGACTGAGAGGAGCCTGTGGGCAGAGACAGGCAGGCCAGAAGTTGTGAGGGTCCACAGTGCTCAGTGGGTGCATGCGTGTTGAATACTGCTTCTGGTTGCTTGTGTGACTGACGGTGGATCTTTACTGTTGGCTTGAATGGCTCTGGAATCAACTAAGAGGCCTGTCTCTGCAGGTCTGCCAGGAAATTTCAGGGAGGATTGACTGAGGTGAGAAGAAGATGTCGTCGTCGTCCTTGGAGTAGGTGGCACTTTGAGACGTCCACAGAAGGAGCAGTGTTTTCCCTGCTTGCCTTCACTTCTTGCTGGTGAGTGCATCTGTCTCATTGCTGCTGCTGCTGCCATCCTTCCTGACATTGGAGTCAGCTTCTTGGGCCTTCCAGTGTGGACTGAAGACCACTGACAAAGCTGTCCTGGTGCCTTCCGAGCCCTTAGTGCCAGATTGAAGCTCTGAGGCTTCCAGCCTTGTGGACGGAACCTCTCCATCATGGAGATGGCCATTGTTGGACTCTCCAGGCCTGATGAGGTAAGCCAGTCTAAATGTATCCATATCTGTTAACTCTTCCAGTTCTCTCCTGCTAGAGAGCCCTGATCTGTTCAGTGGCCACCTATGTCCTCTTTTTCTTATGAGCTCACCTGAAATATTTTTAAATCACCATTTTTTTTATAGTCTGCATATATAAGCCATGTAAGAAAAATACTTTCTTCATTTTCTTAACCATAAAAGGCCTAAAATAACAACTCAGAACAGTATGTTTAATACCAACACATACTGCTGTCAGCACTTGGGAAGTCCTGCCACAGTTGCTAGATGTTACTGTAAAAATTGGGGTCTTTTCTTGGAGTTGTTAATCCTTCTGGGTGATTTTTCAGCCACATTTGAAGCAAACTTTATTACTTATTGGCCAGGATGATGGACACTGGACAGGTCTATACTGGGGATTCCCTGGCATCAAATTATACTAGACAGGGGTTCATAAAGGCAAACCCACAAGGTTATGTACTTCCTGCGTTTGTCTAAGCAGGGGTAAGCATGCATCCTAACATATATGCTACCTGGATACTTCTTACCTATGATTTCCCACCTCTGTGATCAAGCACATCCTGTGCAGTTGGGGCAACCAGCGTTGTTTATAGAAGTGAGAAACATGGTTTGGTTTCGTACATGAACACCAGCCCCCTACATTCCAGGAGTTACCTATCCTTGGCAAGTGGATTAGAGGCATTTCTGTTTTATGGATCTCTTTAAGTGTAGCAATTTAAACTTGAAACATAACTTTTGCCCTCAAGAGATTTTAGTCACATGAATTTAAGAATGAGCCAAGAGGAAAGCCTGAGGAAACTTTTATTAGAGTGTAAAAGAAAAGCTCCAGGGCAAGCAGGCGTAAATCTTGATACCTTCCTGGAGAATGGTGATGGAGAGGAAGAGAAATACCATTTGAGTTAAGCCAGTACAGTGTTAACCACAGAGAAGACAGGTATTCATACGGCAGGAAGGGGCCCTGCAGAGAAAAATGGAAACAGCCCAAAGTACCAGAAAAAGCATTCTAAAAGGCTCCATCCTGTATCTCAAAGAAACAGAACAAAGAGTTCAAGAAAAAGTGTTAAGTTTTGTCTTAGTATTCAGAAAGGCAGACAGACCCAAGAGAACCTCTTGGCAGTTGCTCTGTAGCATAGAGAAAATGCTTCTGAGGGGCAAGCAAGTGTTACTTATTAAAGGGATAATTATTCCTCCCATCTTTAGTGTAGCTTAAAACTAATCAATTCAGCCTTCCCTAAGGCTAAGCTATTGATCAAGTCAACTGTATTAACTCTTAAAGTTAAGCACAATGGCATGTCTTCACCTGGGTTAGATTTTACTTGACCGGAAGGAGCCAGCTTTCCCTTAATGGTGCTTCCAGTGCTGCTATAACATTTCTTCCTGTGAAGAATCATTTAGCAATCAGAGCAAAGCAAGAACCTCTGATATTTCTGGCATTTCTGGCCTCCAAGCCAACATAGAACACGGTCCCAAGGACATTTCAGCTTATTTCCCAGGACACAAAACAAAACAAGCTTCCTTCTCCACCCCCCCAAGTCTCCAAACTGCTTGTACCACATTTGTATATGTATATGTGTGTGTGTGTGTGTGTGTATTTTGTTTCCTGTTTCCTTCATTTTTCCCACTAAAGAGGTAGCCCTAACTACCATTTTGGAATATGGGACAACAGTTTGCTTGGACTCTTTGAGGTTGTCCAAAGTAAGGTTACCTGGTGTAGTAGTTGGTGTACCCTGCCTTGGGCCCGTCTAGGGAACCCACATTTGTACAGCAGGCAGCCGTGTTTGAGGAACAGAAGTTCTTTGCTGAAACGCTGGAAAAGAAATGAAGGAGGAATAAGGCTAAAGTGAGATTGGAATCATTTGAGCAGAGGATAGAGTGCATCCTGCCAGGAGCAGGCCTGGTTTTATACAAAAGGCTGACATTGGAAGACCTAGGCGCTCTCCGTCACACGGCCTGCATAGATGCTTCTGAGTTTAAAAGTGATTAATAGACTATCAAAAGGAAAACAGAGTGTTCCTAACTGCTCTTTCTGTACAACTCATTCATGCTGAGTCGTTTACCCTTACATATGTTCATGTGCTGTTTCTCAGGCAGGAGGTTGTTGCCTCAGGCCAGCAGACGCTAACTTTGCGCATGAGTTTTCAAGGGCAGGCGGCCTCCTGAGCCCCAGCATTATGCCGTTGTGTGTATCACATGATAGGGTGTTCCTGGGACAGGAAGTGGAGATCACTGGGGAAAGGGATTGAGGTGGGAAGCAGCGCATCTCCTCCCTGGACCCAGTCATCTCTGAACATCACTCAGTGCTCTTGTGTGTCATGGAATGAGTATGTGGAAACCACAGAATTACGTGGCCATACTGTCAGTTGTGGACGGATGTGTCTTTCTCACCCACTCTTTCATATCCTAATATGGAATGTTTTAGGGTTTGGTGAGCTTTGAGGATCTGGTGGTGCATTTCACCCAGGATGAGTGGGATTTGCTAGATACTTCTCAGAAGACTCTCTACGGAGCTGTGATGCTGGAGACCTTCAGGAACTTAACTGATACAGGTAAGACTAGCCGTGCTTTTAATCCTGGCAGCCAGGAGGCAGAGGACAGAGCATCTACATGAGTTTTAGGGCAGCCTCATCTACATAGTGAGTTCAGGACTACATAGAGAGACCCTGTCTCAAACAAAACAAAAATGTCTTCACTCCATAAATTAGAGAACAAGTATTTCTGGTTATTGATGGTTGTTGGGATTTGGGTGTGGAAAGGGAAGAATGTGGTGAAGAAATTAGGCATAGTTACAATATACATTCTAATAATTCTCCATACATTTTCTGTGACCGTGGTTTAGGATATGAATGGGAAGACGAGACACTTGAAGACCATTATGAAGAGCCTGAAGTAAATCTAAGGTAATTTACATGCACAAGTGGAAGCAAATGTCCCTTGAAGACATTGTAGTGTGCTATGAAAATTGAAGAACAAAAAAGCCCAACTTTAAATGTATCCATCAGTAGAAAATTTTTATCCCAAACGTATACCTTCATGTGAGCTTGACATCTTGCATGCTCTTTGGTACCAGTTCTGGGACCCTGCATTAAGGAATGCTGCTCTTTTGATGATGGGCTTGTGAAGGCACACATTTTGCTTGTATGGTAGCAGACTGTCTGAGATGGTCTAATAAGCAAACAGTGGTGAAACAACTGTCACTAATAGGCTTGTCATTTCTCATAGTAGTTAGTTTTGTAGATACTGTATGATACTGAAGAAGGTAGTCAGGTGAACAGCCTTATCCATATACCAGTCTCAATATGAGCAGCAGTGTGGGTAGAGACATTTTCATATGCTGTTCATCTTTTAATAGGAACATCGTCTCTCACTCTGAATACACACAGTATGAACATGAGGACTATGAAGAGAAGCCACCTGATTCTAATTTTCTCACAAGTATTGAAGGATACACAGAGACTAAGACTTCGAGTGGACCCTCTGTGTGTGAGGTGTGTTTAAAGACCTTTGGACTGTACCACCTAACTTACAATGGACATCACAACTATGACTACAAGGAGCTCAGAGGAGGAAGCCAGACTGAGGAAAATGATTCTGAAGGTAATCAGTGTGAGAAAACTTCCGGTTCCCTTCAAAAAGAAGAAAAATCTCATACTGGAAAAAAACTCTATATGTGTCAAGAGTGTGGTAAAGCCTTTAGGTATCCCAGCGCCCTTCAATTACATGAAAGAATTCATACTGGGGAAAAACCCTACGAGTGTAAAGACTGTGGGAAAGCCTTTAGAGGTCTTAGCGCCCTTCACCTACACGAAAGAATTCACACTGGAGAAAAGCCCTATGAGTGTAAGCGGTGTGGGAGAGCCTTCACGTATCTCAGTGCCCTTCAATTGCATGAAAGAATCCATACTGAGGAAAGACCCTGTGAGTGTAAACAGTGTGGGAAGACTTTTAGATATAGCAGGGCCCTCAAATTACATGAAAGGATTCACACTGGAGAAAAGCCCTATGAATGTAAACAATGTGGTAAATTTTTCAGAAGTCACAGGACCCTTAAATTACATAAAAGAATTCATACTGGAGAAAAACCCTATGAGTGTAAAGAATGTGGGAAAGCTTTTAGATGGCTTACTTCTCTGAAGTTACATGAAAAGATTCATACTGGAGAGAAACCCTATGAATGCCAAGAGTGTGGGAAAGCCTTCAGATGTCAGGCTTCCTATCATAGACATAAAATAACTCATGGTGGAGAAACATTGTATGAATGTAAGGAGTGTGGTAAGTCCTTCATTTATCCCTCCTTACTTCAAGTGCATGAAAGAACTCACACTGGAGAAAAACCCTTTGAGTGTAAGCTCTGTGGGAAAGCTTTTAGGTGTCAGTCCTCGCTTCGATTACATGAGAGAACACACACGGGAGAAAAACCCTATGAGTGTAAGCACTGTGGCAAGGCCTTTTCAAGTTATAATTACCTTCGATTTCACGAAAGAAGCCACACTGGAGAGAAACCCTACGAATGTAAGGAGTGTGGTAAAACCTTCACACATCGCTCTTACCTTCGATCACACGAGAGAAGACATACTGGGGAGAAGCCGTACCAGTGCGTTCAGTGTGGCAGATCCTTCAGTCGTCATAGTTCCTTTAAGAGACACCAGTCTGTTCATGGAGAAAGTCCATATGAACAGTATCTAATTCCATTATCCCCATTTCCATCAAAGGAATGAAATAACAAACTGGCAACAACCCCTTTGAATGTAAACAATGTAGCAAATACTCCCATCCACATAAAATACATGCAAGAACTCAAGACAAGGAAGAAACTTTTATATGTAAAATGTGTGGCATAGCCTTCAGGGGTCTCGGCCTTCAAAGAAGGAATTCTTGCTGGCCAAAGTTTGTTTGTTACCAATGTGGTAAGTGTCGCTTGTTACACTTCCATTCAGCGTAGTAAGTTAATTCATGCTGGGCAAATGCCCTATGAATGTATGAGATATGGTTAATCTTTCATTTATATCTGTTTGCCTTAAAATCATGAAAGAACTCAGAGGTGAAAAACCCCCACATGAATATAAACAATGTGGAAAAGCCTTCAGGTGTCACAGGTCCTTTCACTAGCATGGATGAAATGTCATGTTGGAGAGAATGTGAATGTGAGGTGTTAAAGCCTTTAGATAGCATTGCTTCCTTAGATTCTGTGAGTGAATTCCAACTGGGAAAGTTTCCAACTGGAAGCAGCTGTGAACCCTTTAAGGTCGCAGTTCTTTACGAAGCTTGTGGTGATGGAAGGTGGGCAGTTCTGTAAGTGTAAGGAGGTGGGAACTTAATGGTTGCTGGGAAAAGGACATTTCCTTTGCAGTGGCTTCCCATGACTTGCCTGTGCTCTTGTAAATACCCCACATTAGCTCAGTGATTCCTCATGCCACACTTGGGTAGAGTCACTCTTGGTCCCTGTCATTCATGCACAGTCTGGGATGAACAGACCTTCATAAATGTCTTCAGGCTTTTAAAGTTGTGCTGTGTTTACATCTGTGTGAAACGCCGAGAAGGAGGGGGAGGCTGTGGCTTAAAGTGCCTTGCTTCTCTCTTGGGTGGTGCTTCAGTTGTCGACTGGGTGCAATCTGGTGTCACCTGGGAAGAAAATCTCAGTACTCACTTGTCTGGGTTCCGTTTGCCTTGACACAGCTGTGAGGGATTTTCATACTAGGGTTAATTGAGGTAGGAAGACCCATCCTGAATGCTGTCTGCACTGTTTTATGGACTGAATAAAAAGGACAGAAGCAGCTGAGCACAGATTCCTTGCTGTCTGCCTTGGGACTGTGTCTACCACCGTGTCATGCTCCAGCCAACATGACTGGCCCACAGTAATGGATTGTAACCTGAAACTGTGAGCTGAAATAAACCCTTTCTTCTCTAAATTGTGTTGTCAGGGTATTTTATCACAGCCACAGGAATGAAGCTAAGACTGCCTGGATCTGCACACAGCAGAAACAAAGATGAGTTGTTTGGTAGGAAGACTTGCCTTGTCTCTGATGTGAGTGGTGACAAGTCACCGAAAGGCTCTTTCTGAAGGTTCAGCATCCATGGCAATAAGCCCAGTGTGGATCTTTTCCAAAGTGCCATGGACGGGCGTGCCTTTCTGCTGCACTGCCAGCTTCACCTTCCCTACTGAGCAACTCCTGTGTACTGCAGCCACCTCTGTGAAAGATGAGTTAGGGTGTGGGTCCCTGTTCTGGAGGGCTTCCCACAAAGATCTCTGGCCTGGCCAGGTGCTGGGGGGAGGGTCCAGGCCAAGGGGATAGAGTGCAAGCAGGGATGGGGAATCACCGCTGCTGCCTCTGCTGCTGCCTCTGTCCGCATCTCCAGCTAGCTAGCAAGGAGCACAGGAAGGGTCCTGAAGCCGCTTGGTGAAAGAAGATCTCTTCCCAAGTGTCACAGCTCTTGCGACAGAAACTCTCAGATAATGGGATGATTCTCACACACCTCCCAAATAGGGCTCTTTGTACAGTTTGGGGGTGGGTCAGGGTCTGGCAGCAGATAACCCTGTTGGCTTGGTCTCAGAGCTTGGAGATACCTCATCTACATGTGGGAGAGCCTGAGGCACTGTTCCTTGTGACTGATGGCCATAGACCTCTCTGTGGGAGGGGCTGTGGAGGGCTGAAGCTAAGTGAAAGGAACCAGGGGTCCTGGAGCAAAGCCAAACACCTACTGTCCCATTAGGGTCCAGGGTTCAAGGTCTGTGCTCGACCAGGTGTCCAGCTGCCTCTCACAGCCCACCGTCCCATAGTAGGGCACATATGGGGTTGCTCCCCATATAGCTGGAAAGCCTAGAGAATCCTATAGCCCCTGAAAGATGCATGTGTGGGACAGACTATGCCAGCAGATCATGCTCCTTGTGCAGGCAACAAGATGTGTAACTGAGGCTGAGGTGTTCACTGGCAGGAGCTTACCAACATGTGCAGCAGTTGTAGTAAGAAGATACATGAAGGCTCTCCTGTGGTTGTCTCATCTTGGCAGGAAAGGTACAGAAAAAAGGAGATGACCAAAAGGATGAGCAGTTACAGGTTAAATCTGTTAAGCCTTTACTGAGATCCTAACCCTGGAACCCCTGGGGAAAATTAAGGAGGAAGAGTGGGGTTAGTGAGGTATCATCCTACAGTCTGACCTTAGTAGGAGTCAAAAGCTCATAATAGAACACAAACTAGCTCCTTCCCTACCAGGCCTGGTGAGGCCTTTAGCTGTCCCTGGGGTGGGGATGAAGAGAGAGTGGATGGTGCAGGGCTAAGGTAGTGCTTTCTATTTATAGCATGGTACCAACATTTTTTAATGGGTTTTTTTAAAAAAAGATTTTGTTATTTATTATTTAGTGTATGAGTCCACTGTAGTCTTTAGACACACCAGAAGAGGGCATCAGACCCTACTACAGAGCCTGGCTTTGAGCTTCTGAGACCTCAAAGCCCACCCCCTAGTGACATACCTCCTCTAACAAAGCCACACCTACTGCATAAGACCACGCCTCCTACTAGTGCTACTCCCTATGGACTCTTGGGAGCTATTTTTATTTAAACCATGAAAAGTCAGAGCTTTCCTAAGGTTCTTATTTTATCTAGATTAAAGAAAAGTCCACGTGTGGGTGGGTATACATAATGTTGTTTCCATGTGCATATGTGTTTATAGTTACATGGGATCAAAATGGCGTATAAGCAGGTGGCCCTATGAATTAAAACTGACAATTTTATCTTCGTTACTTTTCATTCACAATGTAACTAAAATTAAGCATAACTAGACAAGCATTCAGAGGTTACTTGGTAAATTATTGTCTCAGCTCTCATCCAATATGTAGTCTAAAAACATGCCCATTGCTTGGACAAGTCGAGTGGCTCTTAGGACATGATGCTTCTGTTCCTACAGTACCGCTTCACTCTCATGGATGACTGCTCTCAGCTGGGAGAGGATCCTCTAGGCTCTGCTCGGCCTAGAATGGGGTGGGGGGAGGGGGAGACTGAACCCTGTGCTTTCAGCTTTCACAAAGTAAGTACAATTTTTACTTCGTTCATCACCTGATTGAAAACTTAAATCTTAAGTCAGGTTTATTTGAGAATCTGCTCCTGCTAAGCTCAAGTGTCATATAACAGCCACATTTATTTATTCATTTATTTATTTATTTATTTTGATTTTTCGAGACAGGGTTTCTCTGTATAGTCTTGGCTGTCCCGGAACTCACTCTGTAGACCAGGCTGGCCTCGAACTCAGAAATCCACCTGCCTCTGCCTCCCAAGTGCTGGGATTAAAGGTGTGCGCCACCACTGCCCGGCAACAGCCAAATTTTAAAGTGTGATTTGTCAATACAAGTGTAACTAATCTGTGTGTACAGTATCCATTTATGGAGGCTAGTGTGGGTGGTCAGAGGGTGTAAATGGGACTGTATTTTGACCTTTATCCTCCAAAGCCAGCTAGGTCCCAGGAGACCATGGGACATCTCTCAAAGTCATGGAGCCATGGTGAGTCACCTGTCCTCCTGTATTGAGAGGCTCTGGAGATCCCATGAAAGACTTGCCAGTGTATGCTATAGAAGAGAGTCAACTATTAAAGGACTTTTTGTGCTCTCCATAACCATAAATGTACTGATGTTTTTATTCTATTCCTGCCTCCGTTGCTTTACAAGGGCAAAATAAATAAATAAATAAATAAAATAAATAAAAAAATAAAAAAAAAATCAGAGTAAGACAGTGCCAAGCACCACTGTCCTATTCATGAACAATTTTGAGGTGGGACCTCTGGATCATCATAGTAAAAACTGGGTTAAGTCTATCACAGTCACCACACCCTTAATTCCAGGCTGGTCTACAGAACATGTGCCAGGACTAGACTGGGAAAGCAATGGAAAAGCAATAGAAAACAGAACAAACATCCTTTGATGAGGGGTGGGTGTGTTGGCATATAGTTTTATTCCCAGTACTTGAGAAGTGGATCTACAAACAACAACAACAAAAAGATCTGTTGATGAGAAAGCTACTATTTTTTCCAGCAGAAAAATTATAAGGACAGTAACTGCCCAACTTTTCAGTTGTCTAGCAAAAACTAAAGGAATGTTAGCCAGGGTTCTGCTATTTTTGTAGTTTCTCCAGTTGAGTTGAGCTGTGGTGGTTTCTGTAACTATAGCAGTTTACTTCCCAGAAACAAAGGAACTTATATGTTGAGATCTTGATTCTCCTGTTCCGTGAACCCCTGGGAGTCAACTATCACCTAACATCCTTTAACTGGATGTTGACAGAGAAGAGACTGAGCAGAGGGAAAAGAGAAAGTAATAGAGGCAGAGAAGATACTGTTAAGAGACAGAAGAACCCCCCAAAACCTCTTGGCAGATATAATCAGTTGACTTTCACAAGTGTGTCCTTTTCTGGACAGTAATTTGTCTGTAGATGAAAAGAGGCAATTCTTGCCTAGTGGCTGTCTCACCACAACTGGAGTAACTCCAAAGATGCTCAGTTTCTTCTTAGAATCCAAGACAGGAAGCTGTCAGGAGCAGACAGGTCTCTAATCAAAATGAACATTAATACAGAAATGTTTGTAACGTCAATTCTGTAGACTTCTGGTGTTTTGAAAACCTACTATCCATGTAAGGCAATCTGGACTGCTGTCTGTTAACTCTTCTCAGCTATTTCAAAATAAAGTATAGAAAACACCCTAACAATAAACTCAGAGCCATGAATTTGCTATAGGCCCTTAACTCACAGGCTAACCATCTCAAATCAGTTAAAAAAGTTAAAGAAGGACTGGGCCTAAGCCTTGTATTCCTAAATGTGTTATATAGGCACAATGCCTATGAGAGTAACAATATTAATCTCACTTTTATATCAATAAGAAACTCAAAGAAATGAAAACCTTAAATTTGAAATCAAAGTAAATTTTGTACCATCTAAGAAATTATAAGCCGGGCGGTGGTGGCGCACGCCTTTAATCCCAGCACTCGGGAGGCAGAGGCAGGCGGATTTCTGAGTTCGAGGCCAGCCTGGTCTACAGAGTGAGTTCCAGGACAGCCCGGGCTATACAGAGAAACCCTGTCTCGAAAAACCAAAAAAAAAAAAAAAAAAAGAAATTATAACTTCAGCTTAATAACAGTTATACAGATTTCTACCAATAGGTTATGGCTATGCAATAAATCCTATTCTTCCCTGTTCCAACAAAACAACTACTTTTCCCTAGAAAGACAGCCCAATATTAACCACCTCAGTCCCCAAGCCCAGGGAATAGGGGCACTTACTCTTCATTAACTTCTTCAAGCTGATTTGGGGAGCTGAGATATTAGAAGAGGGGCAGGAGGAAGAGTAAATTGATAAGCCTCTGACTTCTGTGTCTTCACTGCATCCAACTGAAATTCCAGGATATCAGAGGTTTGAGCAGGTCTGCTCAGCTTGCTTGATGAGTAGATACACCAAGGTTGTATATTCTGCAATATACAAGTCTCAAAACAAATGTTACTATCAAGATAATTTTTTGTTTGAATTCTGGAATCTAGTCTTCTGGCGGCCTGCCTCTGTCACATCTAATCCATATAATTCTGGGAGTTTCTATGAGGGTGTGCTCCCACCATCCTCCCATTCCTGCCTCCCTGCTCTCGAATTCCCCAACACTAGGGAATCCAAACTTTCAGGCACCAAGGCCCTCCACTTCCACTGATGCCTGACAAGGCCACCCTCAGCTATCTTGTTTTCTCCATCTATGGTAATTGAGAGTTTTGCTGGGTATAGTAGCCTGGGCTGGCATTTGTGTTCTCTAAGGGTCTGTATGACATCTGTCCAGGATCTTCTCGCTTTTATAGTAGCTGGTGAGAAGTCTGGTGTAATTCTGATAGGTCTGCCTTTATATATTACTTGGCCTTTTTCCCTTACTGCATTTAATATTCTTTCTTTGTTCT